GCKTTCTCCTTCTTCTCCAGCAAAAGGAGCCCTACCCCCTGTGTTTTAGAGCCAATCCATTATGGCTCTGAGGTTGATGGACAGGCTGCCCATCAGGCCTGGGCCAATTGCACAGGTTGGTTACACCTCTGTGATGACATATGGTCTTGTACTTAAGAAGAATTCAAAACAAGATAGGCGTGGCCGCCATGTAGTTTTTAGGTTGTTAGTATTTAGTTTTAGTATCATGCACTGGGGAAAAACAGTGCAGGAGGGTGAGGAGATGTGAGAAGAAAAAATGGAGATCCAAGATCACAGTAAAGAGAAGATGGGATGGGTTGCTGCTGTTGCTGTGGTTCTCGAGCATGGAGAAAACAAGCTGTTCTTGAAAGGACTATTTCATTATTGAGAGACCTGTCTAGAAAAGGAGAGCAACCTTGCTCTGAGGAAAAAAAAACAAAAAAAACCCTGGCCTTTGAGGACTGGACTGAACTGATCAGAAGCCAAAAAAGAGGAAGAGGCCTGGCCCCCCCCATGACGATTGAAGCAAGTTGATGCTAAGGATAAGTGGATGCTTAGAAGAAGCTGTGTTCTGCCAGGAGATTTGTGATAGTGGTCTCACGCCGCCGAAACAACACAGTTTGGCCTCGAAGAACATTCTTTCCTTTCTCCTATGAGGTAAAGAAAAGACTCCCTTGCCATCAGCAGTTATACACTGACTGTTTCTTGGGAAAAGAGCTTCCACTGCTTGGAGCTGTAAGAACGCTTCTCCTACAATGCTGGACGACAACCGTAATGAGTAGTTTGATCTATGTTAGACTTTCATTCCTGCCCCCCTTTGTGTGTGGGAAGATATGGGGGGTGGAGAGGGAGGACCTGGGAAAGAGACGGGTCCCCAGAAAGGATAACAGGTGTCTTAAAATGTCCGTTTTTATTTTTCTTCTCCTTGTAAATTTTTCCCTATCTTTGTTCTCCTCCTCAGTGCGGTAGTATTCTTAGTAGTGTTTAGTAATAAATTTATTTTGCAACTTAAATTATTCAGCCTGTCTGGAGCATATATGTATCTTTCTCTCAATTATGTTATGTTATCTGAAAGCCATAAATTTTAGTGTTAATCGGGCTTTTGCTCTCCCTTCTGCCTCTTAGGTGGTGGGGGAAGGAAATGTTGTGGGTGCAGTGCTTTTGGCTTTCAGCACAGTTCAAACCATGACATTTTTGGTGCCGTGACTCAGGTTGGGAAAAATCAGGTTTAAACCCACAACAAGCTGCTTTGTTCTGTCACTACTAAGCTATTGTTTCAATTGCTTTCTCTTCCACATTAGACTCACCAGCTACTGTTTTCCTCCTGATGTGCTCACAAAGGTGTGAGCTTTATTTCTTATGAGTCTTCTGGCTGATGGCATGCATCAAATAAAGCAGCTACCAACACTCTGCAGATAATCCTGYTTGACTGCAGCTGGCAGCCGCCTTCGACTTTATGTCATGGCAACCCATCCCTCAGACTTATTTCTAATTGTTTGTTACTTTTAATCCATACTGGGCATTCCTGAAAATGCATGAAAGCAAACCCTTACAAATTTCAGTCTCTTCAAATCCCTGAAACTGACTCAGCTTCTTAAACAAAAGTATTACAAATATGTTGGGACTAGAAATTGAAGGGGTTTAATAAAATCTAAAAATAGCAGGTATTTTACACTTTGAAAGGTGGCTTCCCCTGCCCTCCCCCACAGCTCTAGACCTTTCCTCATTGTATAACAAATGAAAATCCTGAATGGAATATATCTTTAATCTTCTTTGAAAATCTTGGACATATTATGTCCTAATTCCAGGTGTGTATATGTTCCCTGTTTCCATTTCAGTCCTGTTCCTAAATTAAAGCTGGACATCAGGATATCRGATCAGATAGATATCAGGAAAAGMTTTTTCACCCAGAGGGAGGCTGGACACTGGAACAGGCTCCCCAGGGAAGCACCAAGCCTGACAGAGTTTAAGAAKCATTTGGACAATGCTCTCAGGCWCATGGTGTGACTCTTGGGRATGGTGCTGTGCAAGGCCRGGAGTTGGACTCAGTAATTCTGATGAGTCYCTTCCAACTCAGCACATTGCCTGATTCTGTAACCTCTTCCCTCTAGTATTGAATCTATGYACTTCAAAGAAGTTGATACTTCATTTTTTGCTTTTAAGGATTTTTTTGCAATGTGATTATTTTAATGAGATTCTTTCTGATGATCACGGAGTAYTTTTCTATCATCAGGGTCTTTTATTGGTCTTGGAATTCAATATGCAGTTAAGAAAGAAAATCCAGCCTTCTGAGTTACTAGAATGTCTCAAGGTGCTAAGATTCAAAATGCAGAGGTCATTAATAAATTCTTCTAATTGCGTTAGGATCAGAATTTGGGGGTTGTTAATCAGAATTTGTTAATYATCCTCACAATAATCCCTTTAAAAATGTACTTATTTAATGCCAGGATTATAMATCTTGATCAAGACGTGTTCTGGGGTGACAATGGGGTGCCTGTAAGAGGGCACAGACAGACTGCCTAGGTGTAATGAGGCTGAGGGAGCAATAACAATGTCGCCATTCATATGCCCAGACCCTGCAGCATCTGAGCCATCTGCTGCTGAAACTGCAAATCTGGATGGAAGAATGGCAGATTATTTTCCTCTTCTATTATTCAGACAGCACTTCTCATTTGACATAACTTGCAGGCACTAGGTCTATGATAATTTGTTCTGTTAGAATCCCAGACCAACTTTTTACTGTCAGAAAGCACTTTGCAAGTTCAGAAAAACATGCAACTGTGAAATTATAGCCCTTGAAAGAATATGCCTAACTGGATGAAACTGTAAAAGGATTCCTGTGTTGACACAAAAGGGAGATCTGAATCCAGAGTTTTAGTAATAAAGAAGTTGTATGGTAGAAGTGAATAGCAGAACATATCTGTAGCACACTGCAAGTGAAATGAAGCTCAGTAAATTGCTCATGTGAGTGGTCTTGATGACTCCAGTCAATTGCAGGTTTGAGAAAGTTTTGCCCAGTTTGGCTCACAGTTACAATGAAAATTTATTTGGTTTAGAAGTGATCAGCAACACTTCTGAAACCTCCTGAGTGGTTTGGGCACAAATTATCATGGCCAACTTCTAAAAAGGTCACATGGTGGCTTAACAACACTCTGTGTGGACACATTACAAACCTGTGCTAGATGAAGAAGGGCTCCTATGCAGAGAGCAGATTTTTGACAGCTATTAAAGATGATGGAACAAACAATATAAATTTTTCTTTTTTCCCCTAGAAAAAATCAACCTCCTTAGCAGTAACTGAAAGCACATTACAGTCACTCACGGCCTAAATAGATTTGATTCCTCGGAACATTTTTAGTCTCTGCTAACTGCAGCAATTATTCTGTGTTCTGTGAGAAGAGAGAGAGCTGGATTTTGCTTCATAGAGGTGATTTTGCTGTCTTTAATAACAAAAAAGCACAATGTTTGCACCAGGTGGGACTGGACTGCGAACAACCTGCGAGTTGTCTCTACCCATGGCAAGGSRTTTGAAATAGATGATCTTTAATGTTACTTCYAATTAAAACCATTCTATGATTGTACATATTCAAGAACTATGTTAACCAGACTATATGAAATACAGAATTTTTTTCTACCTTACTCATATACCTTTAYATTTAGCTATCCAGTCTGTACTATTAAATTTTCAGAATTTTTGGTGGAGGTAGCTACAAAATATGAGTCAGTCTGATGAAAATTTTAAGTAAATAGTCCTCCAGAAATTTATTTTCTGTTTTTGTTTGAATGGAGGCAGCTAGATCTGAAATATGCACAAAGTAATTCTGTTAAAATCAGCCCAGACATTCTACTTTTTAAGGCCACATTACAGCTACACAAAATGATCCCTCACTAACTACAGGAAAAAGTTCTTATCTGGCACATCTTTTCAATGGCACAAACCTGGCAAAAGCAATTCTGCTGCTTATTGCTCAAAACAGCCTTTTTGTGAAAAAAAAAAAAAACAACCCAAAAAAACCCCACAAAAATCCTAAACAAAAAACGAAGAAGCCAAGTTATGTCCAGCATGAAATGAAAAAGAGGGTGTTCCCAGGGAGGGGCACAGGAGAACGTATCTGCAGGGGCATTTCACACAAGCCTTATCACTGGCACACATTAGAAAACACCCGTTCCTGCTCTTTTACACAACGAGTCCCCAGATCAGACAGCACATGTCCTGCTCTGGCACAGGTCCCTGCTGTACTCAGGCACACACAGGAGGGAACAGAAAGCCACGCTCAATCATCTGAATACTATTAAAACATGATTCTGAAATTATGTCTGACAGCAAAACTTAGTGMATTAAAATCAACTGGTTGGAAATTCCCTGCCAATGGTCCCGTGTCTTTCTGTCAAAGTGCTATGAAAACCAAGCATCCAGTTTGTTTCTGACCATCCAGCCTGGCTCAAAGCTCACTAGCAGGAAGGTTTGTGAGACAGGAAAGTTTTCCATGTGTTTGTCTGTGTGTCTAATGAATGCTTTACTTCTTGGCAAGGACTGCTGAAGAACAGAAGTCCTACTGATTTTTGACAATTCACTGCAAGGTATTTGTACACGCTTGTTTGAGGTGGTGTGAAATGGCCTGGCAGTAGTGGCTGCACCTACTGTCTGTCTAARTAAAGATAAATATTGTTAATAAAGACACATATCATTAATAATCYGCTGGGCTCTGCAGTCCTTTGTCACCCCATATCATATTAAGATATTCTATCTGGTTCCATTTATAAGTTAAACCCCTATAGACAGGAAAACACACTGGCTGCTGCTGGGTTTGTTTGTAGCATACACAGAAGAGGAATGGAAAAYAAGTGGATACAAACAAAATTTTAAAGGCCTGAAGGATAACATTGCCCAAGAAAGGTTTAAAGGGTTAAAAATGCACAAGATTTTACTGCCTGGTTTTTTATTTTAATCATATTGATTTTTTTTCCTACTGTTTCTTCTTCTTCTCTTTGTGTGACAGAGGTTAATGTGACTCATGCTGAACCCTTCAATTTATGTTCATTCTTATGGTTGGCAAGAATAAATCTTCTGGTTTGACCAAGATGGCTAACATGTATAAATCCAGGGATGTACATAACTAATACAAGTGAGTACTATATATAAAATTTTATATATAAAATACTGTCATGTTCTTTAGCCAAACACATCCTTTTTGCTTCAAACTCATGTTCCWTGCTGTAAGTGCAGACACCAACTTTCAAAAATTCTGTAGAAACTGTACAAATTGCCATTATTACCCCAGAAAGTACAGTAAGCTTTCCATCTTCAGCCTCCAGTTATTAAAAGCAGATGTGCTTTCACATTTTTGAAGTGCTAAACTTTAAATCAATGCAGTGTAAATAACATTGTTCCTTTGGAAGACAAAGCAGTTATGCTGGTCCGTAACATCATGAATGACAGAGGAAAGGGAAAGAGAACTGTCCACTGGTTTTGCTCATRGTGAAAAGATGAAGAGGACAATGAATAACCCCATCAGATTTTTAAAAGAGACAAGAGATCTTGAGTTATGGGGCTCATGTCTCCTGCATGTTGTACTGGTCAAGCTTGAACTGCTGAAAAGGCAGTAAATTCAAAAAGGTTTGAATGCAAAGTGAGGAAGATCACCCACATCTGCCTTACACCTTTTTTTTTTTCTAAGATACCTGTTCCTAGTTTGCTGGCTGCRGTTTACAGAGCTTGTTAACTTTTTGCAGGTTACCCACAAATGAAATCAGGTGCTGTACAAACACAACTATCTAGCTGTGGCAGTTGTTGGAAATTGGACATTCAGAGCTTGAAGACACCTGCAGAGACTGTTCAATGCAAACTTCTTTACACTGTGCTGGCAATAAGGGTATTTGGGGTAATCTGTTTTTAAAAGTAATCTCCACTGAGCAAGGTTCCAACACCACCTTGGGTAGTCTGCTTTTCTCTTCTTTTACTCAAAAAGATTTCTCTCTAAATGATATAAAAGTTATTTCCTGCAAATTGAGGTAATTYGTTCTCATGTTTCTTACAGTGGGAAAAAAACGGAATAAATGAACTAAAAATGTGCTTACCCTTCAAATGAGTATAAGGACCATCAAACCATAGGCAGGATGTGCTGCTGGTCTGACTTCCACAGCTGCAGATTCTGCTCATCAGGGCTTTCCTGATTTCCACACGCTTCTCCCATTACCTTTATTTTCTGTCTCATTTACAAATTAAAGCCACAGAACATGCGTCTTTCAAGTTTTCTGTTGCCTTATTGCTTGAACATGCCTTTGCAGCACCATCTCTCCTGCGTTTCCCAGAAAGCTGGGGCTGCCTCTCCCCCATGGCTCCATCATTCCCATGAGCTGCTCCCGTGCTTGGCAGGCAGGGAAYTGCAGGGCTGTGGGCCAAAAACAGCTTTGGGAGCATCTGTGTCAGCCCAGGTGCTGCACAGGCTGCATTGACACAAGCAATTGCAAGCTCAAGGCAGTTTATCTGCTAAGCTGTCAGCATCCACTCTTCTGGGAGTGGCCACCCGAGRCAGAGAAAGGTATTTTCAGCAATCACATCTTAAACAGCGCAATAACCAAACATGAACACCAAATAACAAATACTAAATATTATTTCTAGCACACAAATTCTGTAAAAGCTCAGAAAAGAAATGCAGCCACTCCAAAAAGCATTTTCAAAAGCAAAGTTATTCACAAAGAGGCTTGCAAATATCARTTAAAGAGCACTGTAAACATAGTTTGTATTAATTGTTCCTCACAAATATTTGTTATTCTTACTTCCTCTGCATTCAACTAATGCTGTTTGTTGCCCAGGGCACTCTTGATCTAATATCTAAAAAAGCCTTTAAGCACTTTCTAAATTTCTATTAAATGAAAGGAAAACAGAAGATGCACATTAAAAAAACCCCACCAGTTCTCCCACCCTAAATAATATTGCTACCTTTCACTACTTCTTCCCCCAAGTAGTACAATGAGCAAACAAAGGTTTGTAGAGGTCATCTTTGAATAATCCCTGATCATGAGTGGTGGGTGTATCAACTGTGCAATTTAAAATAAGCTGTAAATTATAACAATGACGATATTTAGACTAGCAAATGAACCAAGGCCTASGAAAGTCCCAGACACTGGAATAGCACTGTTTGTGCTGGTAAACTTCTTGTGGCCCAAGTGAGATTTTGGAAGCCAGAGCCTTCCAGGAGCYATTTCCAATAGGTAATTTGCAGGTATACAAGCACAAACAATGGCCATTCCAGGTAATCTTAACAGTGCAGGTGTTTCTGTGCAGGTTTAATTTATTAGAAAATAGTCAAAGTGTGGCATTTTCTCTAATGAGGACCTTTATAACTTCAAGAATGTAATGTTTTTGCAGATGGAGCTCTTTTGAGAGTGTTGTATGAATATCTACAGTAGAGAGGGCTTTTCTTTCCTCCAAAGGGTCATGGCAGCAGCTCTCTYGGAAGTGTCACTGCACCGCTCTGTCGAAAGACCGCTCCTGTTAATTCCCAGACACCGAAACGGTTCTTAAGGACACTCCAGGCTCACCATAGGGGATAGGATTAAGTTCAATTGAACCTTCCTGTGAAAGAAACACAAAAATGTCATTATCACTGCAGTGTGCACCTGAGCTACACAAATGCAAAACAAATAATGTCAATATAACATTAGTTCTCCTGATACTTTTCCTTATTTTTAAATTGTTTCAGRAACAGACTATTTTTYCCCATCTGTTTCTATAGTGTTACTTCATTTATTCTTATTATAAGTTACCTAATATTTTTTTATCGATATTAACTTACAATAGGTAAGACCATCTGTGAAAAGTTATTATAGCATAAATGATGGTAACAAATTATAGGATCTAAAGTAACATGAACAGATAAAGCTCACTTGAACACTTCAATTATCATTGCTGATGCAGGACCTTTTATGAAAAAAATTGCCAGAAACCATTCCTACAAAAATGTGACCAGGCMCTATCCAGGAGGGGAGGTCAGCTGTGGTAAATTTTTTTATAAGCTGTCTAACTCTAAGAATGCCATCTGGTGACAAAAAAACCTCCCAGTGGAAAAGCATCTACAGTGCAAATCAGAATATCAGAAATCTGAGTGACAACTGGAAAGCTGAAATTTCATGTTCTTTAATATATACATATTATACACTGAGTAACAAATATCCAAACAAAAAAAAAAATATGGACTTACTTGTGATTTTTTCCATGCATACCAAAAAACAGCAACTATAAGAATAAAAAGGAGCACAAGGGCAATGCTGACTCCTGCCACTAGAAAAGCAAAAAGAAAGGTAACCATGACTCTAAGCCATTAAGACAAAGAAAAAAATAATACCAAAATTTGTGGTGGGTAATTATKCAGCACAAAATAGTAATATTTGACACTAAAATATAGGTCTTGATTTTTCCTACAAACAAAAAYCTCATTCTGGTCTGGGTTGAATAGAAATAAGCCAATCATTTTGGAGATMATTCCATTACATTTTTTTTGGCCGTGCAAATACGAGCTATAATTCATATCCAGGTTTTTTTGGGGGGGGGAGGGGCAACAGTTACTGCTGATCACAAAATTAATATTTGTGTTACAGATTTTCTTAAAGGAAAAAGGCCCAAATAATAATTACAGTAATAAGAAAGCAAATTACTATCATTTAGTCTAGCAGAGTGATACTCTCATTACTCAAATCACTAGAGAAACACCATGACTTGCAATTAAGGAATTCTTAAACACTTATCTATGAAAACAAAGTTTTTCAGGCTAATGACAAGTCCATACATATCTTTTGTATTCTACAACCAATTACAKTAAAATAAGTTAAAAATTCAAAACTTAGGTAAAGAAAAAATTAWTGAAGCAAAAGTACATATGTTAAAATTGTGAACTTACCTACTAGAGTGGGCAGACCTCTTCCTGCTAAAAKGGAAATAATAAAAATTAGAAACTTGAGAAAACTGCACAGACATGTAATGAAGCTAAATCTGGTTTTCCTGCCTCGGTATAACAAGCAGAGGGATATCAAGAGGAGGAAATAGGGAGGGCAGGTGAAATCCCTGGCACTTCAGCTACTAACACTGCCCTAGCAGGTGCTGCGGAGACCACCACCACACAAAGCCCCACAAATGTAGGAAGTTTCACCAGTAGCTGTGGTGTTGGGAGCAGAGGTGGGGCTTCAGAAAGCAGTCACTCCATAAAGCCTCCAGAAAGCCCAGTGGCATCAGGGTGTCATTTGAGACACACACAAAGGTGTCACAGAAACAATYGAGACACTGCACAGATCGGGGGGACCTTTTCCTGTCATTATCWTCCTCATTAGTTGTCTTCTCTTGGCACAAAATACAAATCTATTCACTGCTCATGAAAAGTGCCTGACATTTTATATTAAATGATGCATTTCCTGCCCYTTTGACACACAATTATTTAGGCTGTGTTATTTGAGATATCTGAAATATTCTTTGTGCTTCAGCTGCCACTCTGCAGGAACAGGTGGAAACCTGTTTAAGTCAATCACAGGGTTATATTGCTGCTACACTGGTTTGGGCTTGCAGTTCTTCTAAGGAGAGTCACTGCATGGAAAACAATAGCAGAAAAGAGGAACAAGATATTCACAAGACTCAGATGTGCACACTTGAGGGAAGAACTGACTCAGGATTTGAAGGAAGCAACAACATGAAAACCAGACCTGGAACATGATGGTTTTCTTCTGTTTCAAGACTTGGTGTGGGACTATGGAAAGGTGCACTATCTTCCGTAACATGTTTTTTTACTGGGTACTCCATGGAAGCAGTTRTCTCTTCCTGAGCATTAACAAGAGATCCTAAAAAACAACAACAACAACAAATCAATAAATTATTGCTGGAGTATGCCATACCATTTATTATTAAGTTGTTTGATAATTTCAGTTATAAGATTCAAATGCTTGTAACTTGGATAATCTTTCCTGCTCTTTTACATTTGGAATGTTTCCCTCCATCCCTTTTATTTGTGTGAACATTTCAGTTGAAATTGTTAAGACATTTTTCAGAAAAGGTTTGGAAAAACTCCCCTCACTGTCATTTACTCAGCTTTGAAAAAAAAAAATCACAGATATCTTCTTAGATATTGATTCCTTGCTCTGGCTTAAGAAAATGAAATCCATAAGGGAACAGTAGCAGAGCCTTTACTAGAYTTGGGCACTCTGTGAAAATTAGCAAACCCATTTACATTTGCTTTGAGGGGGGTTGATGGGATATSGCAGCTCACTTCACCTGGGATGTTTATTGATATTCATCTCCTCTTCATCATTCTCATTTTCCTCTTTCCCTAAATGCTTCTCAAATGGGAAGCAACTACAGTGATGGAGATGACGAAACACATTTGCTTGCTTTAWTTAAGAAATAYAATTAACACCCTTTCTTTCACATCACTTCAATTACAAATTAATGAAAAATAATTGGGGAGGGGTGAAAGATATTTTCCCTGAACTTTTTGTTAGTGACAGGAAAAGAGGAAAACTATGCCTGTCATTAASTTATTGGAGCATTAAGGAGATGCTTTTTACAACCACAGCTGTAGCAAGAAAAACAAGTGAAAACAAAATCTCTTCTACGGAAGCAGAAGCTCCAGGAGATTCCACATGGACTCTGAAGCATCACAGGGGGACAAAACTGAGCCCCATGAGATTCTTGGACTCACAAGTTWAAAAAAATTAGCATAATCAAACATCTTATTTAATTCTGGTCTCCTGGGAGATTTGCTATTTACAAAGTTCTTCCTRTAGTGATAGCATCAGGTTCAGACATAACATCCACAGTTTCTCTGGAAGAGAGCAAAATATGATGTTGCAATAAAGATGAACAGCACTTAAGAGCAGATGCTGCCCCTCTCAGAGAACGTGCTGCACTTGTTAGCAATGCAGGAAAGTTACTCCAGGGTCAGGAGAGAAACTCGCTTTGTCACTTGGAAGCTTTCATGGGGCTCTGCCAAGMAGGGCACTGCTCAACAGAGCAGGGGTGATATACATGTTTCCATGAACTCCTGCAAGAGGGACGGCATAAATGCTCAGCCAGGCTTTTTTCAGAACAAGTGTACCTTCATGATAAGAAGGGCCATTAG